ACAGCCTGTCCCAAAATTTTAAAAAAATTTTAAAGGTCTGGGGATGTAACTCAGTGGTAGAGCACTTCTACTGGTATGACCAAAATCAATTAAAAAAAAAAAAAGGAGGAAATAAGGGGAAAAAATAACACTAGTAGAGAATAGACAATTTCTAGCTAACAAAAATCATGTTAGTAGAAAATAGGGAGAAATTCTCCCTTATATTGGGGAGAAAGGACAGAGAGAAAAGGTATATTAATGAGAAGAGTAAAGAAAGTTTGGTTTTTATTAGTGCTCCTCTGAATTAGATTTGGTTTGTCTATTTTATTTTTTTTATTTTTTATTTTTTAGTTGTCAGTGGACTTTGTTTATTAACATGCAGTGCTGAGAATCGAACTCAGTGCCCCACACATGCTAGGCAAGCACTCTACCACTGAGCCGCCACCCAGACCTGGTTTGTCTATTTTAAACCATAACTGTGTACACTTTAGGTATTAGACACTTTTCCATTCACATTATGAGTTTTTCTTTATCTCATGAATTATTTACAAAAGGGTTTGTTTTCTAAACTCATGGTAATGACAACCTGGCATTTGTTTTCATTATAGTCGGTTGTCAAACCATATGTACAACATTGTCTCTACTGTACTTGTTGAAGCTCGCCTGTGGAATGGGGTGTCCATTTTTGTTAACCTTCCAAGTATGCTTGAAATACGTATTTCGTAACTGTTGAGGTGAAGTCCTATATAAATCCATTAGACCAATTCATTGTGTTGTTCACATCTTCTACATCCTGAGTAAGTTTACATCTGCCTAGTCTGAATGCTTTCAGAGATGTGACTATCTCCAAGTAAGACTATACTGCTGTTTATTTTTCTTATCATCTTGTCTGGTTTTGCTTCATATGTTCTGGACTATGTTATTCATATAGTTCAGACTTGTTACATCTCTCAGAATTGTTCCTTGAGTCATTATGTTCTAGACTCTCTGGTGCCTTAAATTCTTTTTGCCCAGTATTAACATAACACAACTCTATTTCATCAGTATTCCCTAAATTTAGTAAAGTGAGGAAAAAAAAAAAAACAAATCGTAATTCCCATCTATTTCTCACTAACCTATGAGATAAATTAAATTTAAGCTAGCATCCTGCCCTGCAGGGCTCAGACACTTGACCCACAATCTGGAGAAGCTGCAGGGAAAGATGAGAACTGGAGAACTGTTAGCCAGAGGCCAAGACAGCAGAGATCAGGGACAGAGAGATGCTGCAACAGTGCCCAACCCTAAGCCCACCTTCTGGGCATAAATGCAGCTGCTGCTTAACTTCCCTTACGAACCTTCTGCAAATTCCTCTGTGGCTGACCTGACCCATAACTAGGAATTTTGGGAAAAACAGTTCCAACTCAGTTATGCTGACATAATACAAAACCAACACAACCTACAGGTGAAAGGGTTCTTCCATTTCTTTCATTTAATGTTTTGTGTGTCATTGTTTTAGAACTCTCTCTCGTTTTAGAACAGCTGAATTTTTATTTCATCCTCAAGACTATCTTTTAACTGACATGTATGATTCACCTACATTTATTGTGATTTATGCCTTTCATAATTTTATTTTATTTTTTAAAAATATTTATAATTTTTAGTTGTAGGTGGACACAATACCTTCATTTTTATTTTTATGTAGTGCTGAGGATCGAACCCAGTGCCTCACGCATGCCAGGCAAGTGCTCTACCACTGAGCCACAACCCCAGCTCTTCCTTTCATAATTTAAAAAAAAAAATTATTTAAGAGAAATAAATACCACCATAAACAAATTAAAAATGTCAAGAAGTATTTAAACATTAGACAGCATATACATATATTGAAATGTTACATGGTATCCCCTAAACAGGCACAACTTTTGCATTTTCATGTATCATTTGAAAATAAATTTTAAAAAAAGAAATCTGTACCAAAAAAAAGTATGCATGATTTATATTTCTGAAGTCTATCACATACTAACTTGCAACTCACCACTTCTCCAGCAGAGGCAGCCAACATGTGCTTCACAGGCATCAAATACGAAGATGAATCAGTGTACAAACACCATTTCACATATTCATAGGTGAGGAAAAATGCAGCAGCTGAAATTTAAACAAGCCAGTCTTTTTACAAAGCTTAAATACACATTCCCACCGTAAAGAAATAGTTTTTTTCGAAAGGTATGACAATAATTATTACATTATGAGACAATAGACAAATGTAACTTTTTTCCATCACTCTTTCAGAATTTACTGAGCCCATATTACATGCCCAATCTCAAATTAGAAAAATGCAGACAACGTGATCCCCATACCGACAGAGCTTATCAGCTAACCTAGCATTTGCCAGGCTGAATGACAAGTTACTTAACACTGTTCTAGTCAACTTTTTAGACAAGGTGAGGGTTACGGGGTTTCTGTGTTCCAGAAGATCTTACACTTGGTCATAAAACAAATATCTCACTGGTTTATAAATAAGTCAAAAATGTAAACATATGCCTTTACTTAAAATACAACATGTATTCTATATGCTTTATTATTGCTGGTTACCCAAAATAGCCATAGCTACTTTTTAATGTCAATTTACCTTTTTTTTTTTTTTTTGGTAGCACTAAGGATTGAATAGTGTGTCCTCCACTAAGCCACATCCCCAGCCCCATTTTTTATTTTGAAACACAGTCTCACAAAATTGCTTAGGGCCTCGCTAAGCTGCTGAGGCTGGCTATGAACTTTCAATTCTCCTGCCTCAGCCTCCCAAGTTGCTGGGATTAAAGGTGTGCACCACTGTGCCCAGTTAATCCCCAGGCTTTTTATTTTTTATTTTGATTTTGCAATTCCTCTTGCCTCAGTCTTCCAAGTTGCTGGGATTACAAGTGTGCGCCACTGCACCCTCCTACATCAATTTACCCCTACAACAAGGAAACAATCAAATGCTTAATTAGAACTGGAAATCAAAATCTCAGAAGAGCTATCTCTATATCACCATGAACTAATTATAGCTGCACATGAGGGCTTTAAAACTTGTACTGTTAATCAAAAAGTGTTTATCATGTCCATAAAAGATAAAGAATGAAAGAAAAAAGAATAACAAATTCATCTTTTGAAGGACATTAGAATTTATCACAGTCAAGTCTGAAACACTCAGAAAAACTGCCTGATAGTAAAACTCAGTGATCTGAGGCTGCCAACAAATAAGCAGGCCCACAGTCCACAGAAGTCACCTCCAATTCAGTGACCTGGCACAGTTAACACAGGCCTATTCCCGTGAGGTTCTTCATACAGCTTGTCACACTTTGGCCCACTACAATATTATCCTTGATGGCATTCAGCTGTAGGTTCTGCAGCTACTAGCATCTCTATACCCACTCCAAGGCAAAGGAAGAAAGACTTGCCCAATTTTGTGACTACTTGTGTGATACTTCATGTCTTTTAGGTCTGTAACCTCCAACCCCTGTCCCCAAGTGCACAGCATCCAAAAAAGACT